GCAGTTGGTCCGCAGGTGTCCAACAAGTCCAGTCGGCGTCCGTAATGTCCGTAAACATCGTGGACACGTTGGGGACGGTTGGCCGTTGGCGTTGCGAAGTGGGCGCAGTTGAGATTTGCGAGCCTCGCGGTTGGTTTTCGCGGAGGTTATGCGGTTGTCTTCGCAGATCGCTGTGACTGTCTTTACTACCCTTCTCTAAATCGGTTGGTCTCGAGCGAGGTCTTCATAGTGTCTCTGTATTGACGGATTTGGCCTCCTTTGCGGTGGGAACAGGTGGCGACCTTTTAGCGGCACAGCAGTGAGAATGTGTGTAGTCTGTGAGCTACAGTTATCAAATAAAATCCCAGACTGGAAGGAGAAGACGAAAGGCACCAGAATGAGGGGTTTATTGTGCACAGAACCCGGAGTTGTCCTCTCAGCCGACGGTGACCATTGGCGAAGCCAGTGGCTGGTGTTGACTACGTCCAGTCATGCCTAAGAGTCCCTGGGACAGTGGCGGCAGCCGATTTTGTAAGTTCGTGGACCAAGCTCAGGTGGTGTCCAGTCAGTGTGTGTTGCATTTGCCGAGGGGTGGTGTCCCAGTGGCTTGTTTCGCTGGTTGCAGGGGGTGGCGCGTTCAAGTGGCGCATGGGTAGCTGCGACTGTGCGGACGCAGGTATGCCCGAGCTGCAGTTGGTCGTGTGCGTCTGGAGCGGCTTACAGCAAAAGGGTGGATGAACTTGAGGCAGCGAGGTCTTGAACAATGACACCAGACGGGTAACGATGACTGCCCGCTACGACCTCTCCATAGAATAGTCTTTTGAGTAGCCGCTCGTTGTCCATCCGCACGAGGTGGCCGCTTAAGCGCCGTTGCAGCTGTTTCAGCATGGCGTAGATTGTGAGGATTCCCATCCGTCCCAGTATGTCTGTGTCGGGGACCCGGTCCTGCCATCTCAGCTTCAGTACCCGTCGAAGACAGCTGAGGTGGAAATGATTGAGTCTTCGCGCCTGCTTCTTGTAGACTGTCCAGGGCTCCGCTCCATACAGCAACGTCGGCAGGATGACTGCCTTGTATATCTTTAGTTTGGTGTTGAGGTGGAGACCGCGGCGATTCCGGACGGTGCTTTGTAGACGGCCGAAGGCATGACTGGCTTTGGCAATCCGGTGGGCCTGTTCATCGTTGATCTTGGTGGTGCTGGAATGGGTTCTGTCCAAGTAGGTGAAGTTCGCCACGGCTTGCAGTTGGACGCTGTTCACGTTGATGTGGGGTGCGACGAAGGCAACGTCAGCGTCTGCTCAGTTTTGATGACCAGGCTGAGGTTGTGGCGGGCAGCAGAGAAGAGATCCATGATCCAATATAAACGAACAGACGTGTCCCAGGAAGCAGTCTTGAAGAAGGAGACACGACCTCTGGGACAAGAGCTTTATTCGCCTGACGTTTCGGATTCCTGCTCGAATCCATCATCAGAGACAAAAGCAGAAACAGATGGTTGATGCAAAAGGGGCTGCGATATTTATAGGATGCAGTAGCCATGCGACAGCATACCTATGAATATTCTCGGCTCCCCCCTTCATCAGGGACGCGAATGTCGGCCATTACACCACGTGCAACGATCCCTGATGAAGGGGAGAGCTGTCAATATTCATAGGTATGCGGCAGTATGGCTACTGCATCCTATAAATACTGCAGCCCCTGATGCATGAAACACCCTTATCTGCTTCTGTCTCTGATGATGGATTCGAGCAGGAATCCGAAAAGTCAGGCTAATAAAGCTCGTGTCCCAGCGATCGTGTCTCCTTCTTCAAAATCCATGATCCTTTGCGTGTCCCCTTCCGAGATGGTGTTGAGAGCACAGTCGTCGACGAAGAGAATTTCATGGACGGAAGTTGCGGATACACGCGAATGGAAGTGCATCCGCCGCTGATTGAGGAGGTGACCGTCCGTCCTGTAGGCGATGCGGATCCCGGGGTGTTCATCACAGAAGCGTTCACTAGCATGGTAGGGAACATGACACTGAAGGGGGTAGACGCGAGGGCGCAGCCTTGCTTCACTTCGTTGGTCATTGCGAAGGCCTGTGAGACAGTTCCGTTGTCCGTAACACGCGTCATTATGCCATCGTGGAGCTGACGCACAATCTGAGTGAACCGTTCGTGACGGCCAAATTACTGGCGGTTACCTTTCCGCTTGCAGAGGTAGACAATTATGGCGTCCTCGAAATCCTGGGGGACTTCTCCTTGACGCCACATCTCCTGAAAGAGTGACATAAAATGATCCATTAGTTGGAGGCCACCGTGCTTGTAGATCTCAGCAGGGATCGCGTCCGGTCCGGGCGTTTTCCTGCTGGAGAGCTAATGCATGGCCCTGATGGCTTCGTGGAGAGAGAGCGGAAGGTCGAGGTCCACGTTGATCTCCACTTGAGGCAGACGGATAATGGCGGCGTCGGAGATTGTGGAGGGACGGTTGAGGACGCCTCGGAAGTGCTCGGCCCATCGCTGTAGAATTTTTGTCTTCTCAGTGAAAAGGCTGTTGCCGTCGGCACTGAGAAGAAGTGCAGTGCCTTTAGTTGGCGGACCGTAGACAACTTTGATCGCGGAGAAGAAGTTCTTCCATTCGTTGCGGTCCGCGTATCCTCGGATCTCCTTGGCCTTGCGAGCCGTTCATGCGTCCTGCATCTCGCACAGCCGCTGTTGTGCAAGGTGACGACTACGGTAGAAAGCAGCTCTGTTGTCGTCGATGGAGCGATTGACAAAGGCCTTGCGCAGGCGGTTCTTCTCGGCGAAAAGATTGCTGATGGCGGCGTCGTGTTGGCGACGTGCACGACTGAGGACAGACAGGACGGTCGACAGGACCGTGTCCCTCAGTTCACATCATCGGTTATCCACGGAGGCGTTCTCGTCAGCGGCGGCGGCGGCGGCGGTGACTGGAAGGCTGACCAGTCTCTGAGCTGGCTCATTGCCGAAATGGAGATGGTGAGCGGGCAAAGACAACAAGGCAACATTCAGCGTACCTAGGGGTCGTTTACCTTGAGGTCCCCTGTGAGGCTGTAGACGAACCTGCATCCTGGACATGACGAGACGGTGGTCGGTCCACCCCTCGACAGCCGGAATCGACTTTGTCATTAACAAGTCCCGATGGTCTCGCCTGCGGACGAGGACATAGTCCAGCAATTGCCACTGACGTGACCGAGGATGCCTCCAGGTGGCCTTCTCTCGCTCCGGCGGACAGAAGAACGTGTTCGTCAGTTTGAGGCGGTGTTCTGCGCAGGTACGTAGGAGGAGCAGGCCATTGTCGTTGGATCCGTTGAGACCATGGGGATCCAGCACTCATCTCCAGGCAGCGTGGTCTGTGCTGACGCAGGTGTTGGAGTCACCAAGTACAAGCAACTTGTCCGCCTTCGACACAGTCGCCAGGAGAGCGTGTAGGTCCTCGTTGAATTTGTCTCTTGCAGCATCAAGGCTGATAATCGGCGGGAAGGCGTAGACGATGGTGGTGAATTTGCTTCCCAGAAAAGGGAGGCGAAGGCTCATCAGGCGATCGTTAATGCCTTCCGGCAAACAGGGCAGTCGTCCCACGATGTCGTTCCGGATGGCGAAGGCGACACCCGCGTCTTGTCGCTCTGGCCTGGGACGACCACTCCAGAAGAAGGTGTAGCCGGCACCCACCTCTCCAGCTGACTTTGTTCGGATAATCGAGTCTCGCTGAGTGCGGCGATGTCCACCCTGTAGCGCGCCGGTTCCCGAGTATCTAGCGCCGTTCCCCGTTCCGGTCGGTTGCTCCTCGGATTGTCTAAAAGGGAACGAATATTCCAGGCTGTTGGAGTGATCGGACTCATCCTACAAGTCTGGTGAGCGGGGCAATGGGGAGGAGGAAGAGGGGGGAAAGAGTAGGTATGGTTTCTATTTTGATTGTTTCGACCGTGTGTTTTGAATCTGCTGGCCACGGTCATCGCGCAGACAACGTGATCGCAGCATTTGTTTCTATCCCCTTCCCCCCCCCCTCGTGGGGGTGTGCAGTGTTGTCCCTAAGTGGGGTTGCTCACTCGTCTCAGACGGCTTCCGGACTCCATCATGGGCCACGACTTTGTTGAGTGGGAGAATGACCCGAGTTAGCCAGAGCCGCCTACGTGATTGCTGTCGCTCTCGCCGCAGGGCTTTGGAGTGGGGGGGGATATGGGGGAAGGATAGGAAGACGGGACGCAGTTTCCCGTTCCTCTCTAAGCTAACTTTTAGCTAAAATATAAACGGTAAGCAGACAAATTCAGCAGAACGGTATTTAACTTACAACAAGGGCAAACACACACAAACAGACAAAGTTAGGCAAGCAAGAACAAGCAAAAACAAATACAACAGTTAAATATTCGGCCTACCTGGGGGGTCATTTACCTTGTGGCCTCCTGCTGCGGGGTTGTGGACGAAGCTTTGTCTTGGAAGTGTCAATTCAGTGATCCCTGGGACTTTCGACCCTGTGTTAAGGGAGTAGAGTAGAAAGTAGAGAGAGTGAGAGGCGGAGGGGAAGGTCAGAGAATATGTGCGAAGAAGTAAAAGGCCAGTCTCCCATTCGCTAAGTCGGGAGTTCGCTGAGTTGAGGGGGGAGATACGATCGCTGGGACAAGAGCTTTATTAGCCTGACGTTTCGGATTCCTGCTCGAACAGATCATCAGATACAAAAGCAGATACGGGTGGCTCATGCATAAGGGGCTGCAGTATTTATAGAATGCAGTAGCCATGCTAGCGCATTCCTGTGAATATTCACGGCTCCCCCTTCACAAGGGATCGTTGCACTTGGCGTGATGACTGTTTGATGGCCGACATTCGCGTAGTTAATTGCTGCAATTTCATCACGTGCGTTGGATGTTGGTGTAATGGCTGCTGGACCATCTGACGCGCTGACCCTGGTGTTGGGAAAAGTACTCACCTGTGCGCCCCCCGCGTGGCCAACTACTCCGCCTCGTCAAATTTGACGTCTGGCAACTAGCTGGCCACGGTTTATTGCTGCAACGCGACGGGGTGTGTGCGAAAACATATGCTGGATTTGTCGCTAGGGGTGACAACCGCGTGAGCCGGGAGCTGCTTGAGTCATGGTTCATTGGCCCCAGTCCATTAACAAATGCAATGATCTCCCCATTCCATACTCGGTGCTGAGACTTCGCCTAGGCGGAGGGACCGGCCACGCGGGGAGCGCATAGGTGAACACTGTTCCCAACACCAGGGTCGGTGGATCAGATGGTCCACCAATCATCACACCAACATCCAACGCACGTGATGAAATTGCAGCAATTAACGACGCGAAGATCGGCCACCACACCACGTGCAACGATCCCTGATGAAGGGGCGAGCCGTGATTACTCATAGGTATGCGGTAGCGTGGCTACTGCATCTTATAAATACTGCAGCCCCTTGTGCATGAACCACCCATATCGGCTTTTGTCTCTGATGATGGGTTTGGGCAGGAATCCGGAACTTCAGGCTAATAAAGCTCTTGTCCCAGCGATCGTGTCTCCTTCTTCACGACTGCCTCCTGGGACTCGTCTCTTCGCTTCTATTGGCAGTTTGCTGAGTGCTTGTGGCCTCCCGCGGGATTGCAGGTGGAGCCTCATCTGGGCGTGTCGAGGCAGTAATTCGTTCGGCCAACGGTAGTGGGAGCGGAGGCGAGTTACTGCGCTCGGAAATGCAAACAAGGACACCCTCACCCGGTTTAGCCCGCTGGTTGAAGCAGTTACAGAGGTGCGGTCTCTAGACAGAGCCCAGCTTTGGGGAGAGTGGGTGCCAGTTAACGGACGCTAGGCGTAGACAACGCCTGCAAGCAAGTGAGCAACCTACTACGACCATCACGTGGACCCACAACTGGACACCCTTACATCCCTGCACATAGCGAAACACAGGTCAAAATTCGAAATGTTTAAAAATGAAATCATCTCGAGAGTCAGGAGAAGGTGTCCCAATTTCAGAAATTGTTTAATTTAGGCAAATGATGGATATGCGTGGAAAAGGCACACAATGTGCCTAAACTCGCGTCGTCCGGTGGTGGTTAGAGCGTTGGCTGTACTAAGGCCTTCCCCTTACTGTTGTGGGTTCGAATCCCACCGAGGCGCCGAGTTTTTCACAGTTGAGAAAATATGAATTATTCTAAATCTGCCAAAATATCTATGAATTACGTGAGCCTAGTAGTCATCTGGTGGATTCTAGGTGAATTACTTAGGAAATCCTGCTTGGGCAATCAACTTACTGTATCAGATTTGGTGGATTCCAGACGTTGCAGTAGGTTTGGCGGGTAACTTGACCCAAATGTGATTAAACTCGCGTCGTCCGGCGGGGCCTCGTAGCTCAAGGGGTTAGAGCGTTGGCTGTACTAAAGCCTTCCCCCTTACTGTTGTGGGTTCAAATCCCACTGAGGCGCCGAGTTTTCACAGTTGGGTCAATGTGAATTATTTAAAATCTGCCAAAATATCTACAATGGTTATTTGTTGTTTTTCACAGAGAGCCTGGAGACATTTTCACTTAAAAGCCAGTATGTTGCCGAGCGCGAATTCATTTCCCCAGTAATTAACTGGACGACCATTTCTGTCTATTTAAGCGTAAATTTAACGAGTCCAGTGAATAGTTTCCCATTGTCAGCGCATACGGTGCGTGACCGATCTCATGAAATGTTGGCTGACATTCTGAAATGCGTTTTCGATTAGGAAGGATTACATAGGTGGGGTTGTAAAACTGATTACATGCGGCACAATGCTACAGTATATCGGACTCCTCAGGATGTCGGCTCTTGAATAAACTCCGTTTTGACCTCCCGCAGGAACCGCACTCCGTAAAAATGACTACTTAAGTAGCATGCATTCCTCACATTGATTTTCAGTGGTCTTATGAGAATATATTTTATAGAGCACATGCACAAAAATATGTTTTATTTTACTCATTTACCTTGTAGACTTAAATCGCTAAAGGTTAGTGCGTTGTCAGATCGGGCTCAAAATTATTTGGGAATTGGGGAAACTTTTTTTAAAACCTAAATATACACTTTCTTCGGGTATTAGATATGAAGACAAGGCGATTTTCTACTAAATGAGTAAAACAAAGCATATGTTTGCATGTTTTCTATAAAAAAAAAACATTTAAATTTATAAGGCCACTGAAAATCAGTGCAAAAATGCATGCTACTTAAGTAACCATTTTACCAAGTATAGTTTCTGCAAGAGATCAAACAGAAGTGCATTAAAGAGCCGACACCCTGGAGAGTCTGAAATACCATGGGATTATGTCGCATTATAATTAATATTACAACCCCACCTAGGTAATTCTTCCTAATTGAAAACGCACTCCGGAATTTCGGTCAACATTTCATGAGATCAGTCAAGCACTGTACTTCAGCCCGTCGGAGGACTCGGTGGGACCTTATGATACAGGAAATGCTCAAGTACGCCACTCAGACAACAGAACTTTCATCCCAACGGTCAAAAAGCTGCCGAAGGATGCCTACGTCCAAGCGCACCGGGTCAACTTGTTGGATGTTATATATTATGATTTTCAACTCCCTGGTATTCTTTTCCGTTCTGACCCTTGTTTGAATGAATCGGGACGGACAAAAGTTTGCTTCGGAAGACGAGCGACTTGACAGTCACCAGTTGACTTTCCTATTCTGTTTGGCACTCAGCTAGGTCGTTTGATCGGACTTGGCCACAAATCTGAAAGACCGGATAGGAAGTTAAATCAGATCGGTAACCCCTACGTGGTACGAAAGCGCAATCTACTCAAAAATCCAAAGGAATACTTGGACCTCCGCCGATTCCTTCGTCCTGCTGGTATGCCTGTCTCTTTCTTCTAACCCCCAAGAAGACGAATCCTTCTTTGATCGTTGACACTTTGTTGTTGTTGTCACGTTAGGTGTCCTTACTGTATTTGAACAAGGCAAAGGCGACAAAGCATGCAGAATTTACTGACGTCATAAATTTCGAGACCTCTCATTCAGCTGCACACGGTCATTGCATAGTTATATGACAAGGCAAACTGTTCAATCAACGATCGACCTAGAGAGATAAAACGTGATAGGTAACCTAAAACATGGATCTAGTACGCTGGTGCATATGGCGAGGGGGGAGGGGGAGGGGGAGAGAAGTCGTCCAAGTATGAGAGAACTTGTGCGGCGTGATTTAGAGTGCAACATGCGGGGAGCATTCAGTCATGCCGGGGAGAGGGAGGCGAGTGGGGGCGAAATGAGAGGGCGTACATGGGAACAGGGTTTCGTCCATAATCGATAATTACCATGGTAGTGCCAGGTTTATCACGTGGTCCAACTGCTTACAGAGTTCTGGTTTCCTCCTCCGTATTGCAGCGGCCTCTGCAAAGCGCAAGAGACGCCCGGTCGTCGCCCGAAACAGGACCTTGAATGCAACCATTGGGTCCACCGTATGGCCCGTGTCCACTAGGTGCTTTGTGATTGAGCTCCTGGGTACCTTATTTTCCGCCTTAAGCAACCACTTCGACATGTGTTCAGCTGACCGAGCTGCCAATTGCCTTTGTGTGCGCCCGATGTACTTTCATCCGCAACTACATGTAAACTGATAAATAAAGTTTGATGTGGCGTGCATAGGCAAAATGTCTTTAGCTGGTCTAACTGGGATGGCGGTTGTGGTGCTTATGAACAACAATTTTGAGGCGGCCTTGTTCAAATTTATTCCAGGAAAACATTGCTTCAACTTACTGTATTTGTTATGATCCGTTCTGGAGCGTATGCGCACACGACTCTTGTCCCCAATACCGACGCACAGCAGAGAGGAAGAACCCGACCGGCCACGAAAAAGTGTATTAGCAAACTGAAAGTCACGTCTAACTGGAAAGTAACGCGTATTTATAACATCCTGCTGGGGTTCGCCTGCATTCGGCCCAATGCTCTTCGAGAAGAAAAGTCTAGACGAGCTGATTTGTAGTTAGAATACACGGATCGATCAGGCTCGAGGAGAGCAGCCAATGGCGAGGCAGCACGATCATGCTGACAGCGCGCTAGAGGAAAACGCAGGTGGTCCACAGTGACTGACTGGTTCATGTTTTTTGGGAGTATAGGCACTCCCGACAGTATTCAGGTCATTCAGGAGATGCCCTCGAGGGGAGCAGTGGGCCTGAACCGGGCGACGCGGTGGATGAGCTGGGCCAAAACAGGCGCTAGGTCCGAGTCCGACAGGCGTTATTGGTAATACCCGTCCATAACTAATGCCAGCGCTGGGGTGTGACAGCGCGCCCAGTTGCCGACTTGCATCCTGCCAACTGAGGTCCGTGGCATCCGCCACTTTTGTTGCCATCTCGAATCTTGGTCAAGTGTTTGTAGTGGACCAGGGCGTGTGGTGGTACGCCTAGGCATGTTAATCGGGCTCGAAAGATAGCATTTGCACCTATCGTGTGTGTTCCACGTTAGGTCAAAAGGTCTGAAATCATTTGCTATGCCAGTACCAGCAAACCATGGTCCTCGCAGCCTGGTATGCGCTGGCAGTACCGTGGCACCTGGCTCCCCAACGGTAGATGCGCTTGCGCTCCCGCTGGATATACAGGTAATGGCTGCCCAGTCATCATCCTCGTCCTTTTGACCCCTGTTAGGGCGTTGTTGTTGATGTTGTTGTTGAAGAATCCTGGTCAAATGTATGTTCTGCACCAGGGGGTATGGTGGCACGCCTAGGTGCGGGTCCGGCTGTGCCAGCCACCCGTGCCCACTCCCACCTTCGGTCTTC